GTTCATTTAAGTTTGCACCCAGATAACAAAAGTTGGTGATTTGTGGTATAAGTTGTTGGTTAACTAGTAATTGACCAGGTGGTATCCTATTTTTGATTATAACCATGTATTTGTTTTTTTTATGTTAAAATCAAGCTCCAACCTGCTACTTACTTCTATCATCCTTGAGATAAGTGTCTGCAGACCTTAAAGACTGCCTTCAAAGATGACAGTATCATAAGCATATCTTATGTTGTTTAATCGTTCTCCGTTTATAAGTATTCCCTTGTCTATGTCCATTACCATTACTTTCATATTGTGCTCTCTGAATATGTATTGAACAATAATGGGGACAATATACATCCCTGTCGCACACCTCTTTTTATTTTTATGTCGTCTGTTAACTGATCTTCAAGTCTGTATTCATTCATAATGTGCTCTGAATACGTATAAAACAATAATGGGGACAATATACATCCCTGTCGCACACCTCGTTTTATCTTTATATCGTCTGTTAACTAATCTTCAAGTCTAACAGCTGCAGTTTGTTTGTAATAGATATTGTTTATTATATGGCGATTTCTGCTGTCTAGCCCAATTAAACTTAATATTTTTATCAGTTCGTCATGTTTTATTCTATCGAACGCTTTCCGGTAATCAACAAAATACACATATAATATCAGAATTCACATTCTGCTGTGAAAGAGAACTTGTATTGCAAATTACAAATTTTAATCCAAATTATTTAATAAAAAACTCTTCCTTATGTGGGATTCGTTCCGTCATCTCATAGCTTTAAAGGTAGAAAGATATATCGCTGACCCACGAAGTTTATTAATAACACGCGCCAGTAATTGATATAAAAAAAATGAATTAAATGTACATGAGATGCCAAGAGCTGCACAGAGTGGTTTGAACCATATGCGCAACTGTTTATAAACATTTTACATGCGTTATTAATATAAAAAGGTATAGGCGTCAAGCCGTTTAACATAATACAGATATAAAAGGTTTATATTGTATAAATCAAGCGTTTAATACTAAAAGTTTTCATAAGAGGATGGTAAACATTTCCACATACATCATCAAAACTGGAGGAGGATCATAGAAAAAGAATTGCATGACGGAAGAAGAAAATGACATGCTAATTATTAATTCGACATTACTTGTTAAAGTTGGCTATGATAGGTCTCTCTATTCCGCATCAAAACTAAGCATGCAGAAAGAAGTTTTAAACTAAGCAAAAAATTTATAGTAGAGCATAATCTTTAATCAAATACATCAAGATGTTAGTAAGGCATAAGAGCAACGTCGATATCAAGTAAGGGTAGTGTGTTCACGCAGTATATCATTAAAGGTAAATACAACAATAATAAAGTATAACGATAGGAGATGATAAATGGTACCTATTAAATTTTCAGTATTGTTTTCTAAACATATAAGGCGTATTCTTCACCCATAGTCAGGCCTTACTCAGCTGGCTGCCAAACACTCAATGATTTAAAAAATTAATGCGGATCTTTATAAAGTGTTAATCAAACATATCTATAAACTGATCTAACGCTTTTTACTATAAGATAAACATTTTTGGCGCGCTTTAACGCATATTTGACAGATGCTGCTAACCACGCTATCTTAATAAACTTAAAACGTATTTTCCACGCTTAAACATCAGCTAAAAGATATCTAGCGAGATTTAACATATAGCAAACGTATACGTGACGCTATCTAACTCATATCAGATGTATAGCAGACGCGATTTAACTTATATCAGTCGTATAGCAGACGTATACCAGACGCAAGCTGGAACAAAACAATCGCTAAAGAAAATCTGTCGAAAAAAAAACGAAATTTGTCAGAGTAAAAAATGAAAGAATCATAAGAAATTATGTGCGTTAAACATAGAACAATCAAGGATATCACAACGACGATGGTATGGACAAGTCCAAAGAATGGGTGACAACAAAATAACAAAAATAATTATACTGGACACCACAGGAAAGACGAGGGAAATGCAGGTTATCAATTACTATACATAAATATATAAATCTCATCTGAACAGTCATTACAAGTTTCCTCCAAACGGTAACTACTATACAGAACTCACCAATATGATTATTATCGATATACGATTTCGTTTTCCTGCATACCATATTTTATTTACAAAGATTACCATTTTAGAGTGATATTCAGATATAATCCAATTCCGACGATGACTAAACAACGAATGTTTACCATCCATAAACTATGTTCAAATCAACTAACGTGCCAAAAGACCGTTACATCATATATTCATTGTTATTTATCCGATTTTGACGTACAAGACGTTAAATAAAAGGAGAAAGGAAAGCGTAACTATTTGTATACTATAGTTTATCTACAACTAGAAAGTAATTTATTGTTATAAAGTGGATAATGAACAATGGTCTCTGTAAGAATATACAGACAATTGTTCGATAGCCATCAGGCAACAATTTCCCCTGATCATGTTTATTAAACATACAGAATGCACTATATATACCTAACCCTAGTTGACAGCGCATTTTGCAGGTTCCCTCTCACGATCAACTAATAGGTTAAGTACAACTCCCTTCGCGAAGGTACACAGGCGTGAATCCATGCGGGAAAAAGTCGAACATCTTTTTTATACTCCGTAAAGGACCATCAAATATTCAACGTTAAGATATGTCAGGTATATTAACAAAGAAAAATTAAATTAAATACATTTCTAGAGTTTATATAATTATAGAGTATATATAGTTTTAAAGTATATACTTTGGATGTGAAAATTGAAAGTAAATGTATTATTTTATATGAAAGAAAAACTAGCAAAGCTAGGCTAAACTCAGCCAACTAGCAAAGACATGATAACCACAATATGCTACGGTAACTCAAGCAGACAGATACGAAAAGCCATAGTACAAATAATATAGTAGCAAAAATATTTAAGCATAAAATGGAAATAAAAACACTAAAAATGTTTAAAAATAATTTGTATATGCCAACAAAACATTACTCCAAATATACTGACTGACATACAGAGATTATAAAAGCTCATAAAAAATATAGCTCCATACACCCCATATCAATAGGGTAAGAGAAAATATGAAATATCAAGCATACAATTAAAATACAGTGTGTGTAAGATAATATTAGAAACCGTAATAAGAATCCGAATAACGACTGATAGGGATTTATTAATTTGACACAATCAATGCACTAGGAAACCTATAGCCAAACAGAACAAATTATTGATGTTCCACTTACACATTGTTCTTCACTGATGCCTCCAAAGATTACAACGGACTAGCAGCTGCTACTGTATAAGTAAACGTAATTTTTACCACTAGATTACCTGACGGCTATAGTATTTATCCAATATATCTAAGCAATACTTGAATCTAAATAATTGTAAAACCACAAATGAAAAACAAATACTAATATTATTAAATTTATTAAGTTTTTTACAGGCCAGTAAACATGTTTATTCTACACACATCAATCTATTCCTAATTAAAGACGCGTTGCAGCAGCTCTAATTTGTTGGAAAAACTATAATATTTATGTGGGTCTCATCACATGTCGAAATAACTGGTAATGAGCTAGCAGACAAAAAGCGTTTGAATCAATAAACAATGTGAACATTCCAATATCGGATACTAGAACTTTATTCAAGACTCATGTAAATAAAATCTGGCAAGAAATATGGGATCAAACAAACACAAATCTTAAAAGCATAAAACCAGACGTATCTTCAAAAACTCTTCCAATACCATCAAAACGAAAAGACCAGGTAATTATCAGCAGACTCCGGCTTGGGCATACACAACTTACGTACGGCTACATAATCTTCAAAGAACCACTACCAATGTGCCAAAGATGCCAAATACCTTTCACAGTCAACCATATAATAATAAAAAGTACACCTCAGCCAAGGAGATATTCAAGATACCCAACAGCCTAAAAGAAGCACTGCTTAAAAAATTCAATGAAGTTCTGCCTTTTTAAAATTACTGTAAACTCTATAAAAAATTATGATGTAATCTTTATTACATGTGCATACATATACATTGTACCATATTGTTGTAAGTCATGACTTTTAAAATGTACCTTATTTTCTCTATTTGGATCATAAACCTACCGCTAATAACCCCAGTGATTGATGCGGAAAAATAAAACAAAACAAGAATATTGTTGATATTTAGGCATATATACGTACAAAATTAATAAACTGAAAAAAGTTTTAACAGTCATTATTTTAGACATAATATTAAGATGAAGTATTTTCGAAAAAAATGAAGTCAATAAACTTAAATCAATAACAGGGCCAATACAACAAATAAACATAAATTACAAAATATGTAGTTCAGAGATTAAAATAATAATATCGTATATTAGAAGTAAAATCAAAAGATTTTCATGTCATTCGGGTATATAAGCCCAATACAAAAATCCAATTAATTACAAATTCATGCGGAAAAAATAGAAAACCTCAGTAATAAATGATCAGTTCATAAGCTGCTAAAAATAATAGACAAAACAGCCAAGGGTAAATAATAAAGAAGATTTCTAGATGAAACTAATAAACAAAGAAAAACCACAAATATTAGAAGACATAAATAAAAAATGGAATGGCATAAACATCTGGACATATTCAGCAGAAAAATAGTGTGCTTCATAGATTAAAACAATCACATAAATAAGGTGTGTCAAGAACTGAATTAACACACTATTCGCTATGAAAGTCAAAACTATTTAAAAAGTTAAATATTTCACAAAAAAGTTCAAGCCACAACTTTAAGCCATTCAAAACCATAATAATAAAAGATAATGAGAACCTTAAAGATAATTTTAGACCGTATAGTTAATCAGATGAAAAAAGGATATTAAGAAAATTACATAAGAACTGAAAATCAAATACGGGAATAGTAAAAACAGTAAAGCGGAAGACTGAAAACTGTAATATAACAATCCATGAACAAACTACGCAAAGAGCTAAATTTATCTATTTTAGAACTTACCTTTCTATACTGAGCATATATATCTCGTTTATCTTCGTATGCATTGTAAACTTTTCCAGCAGCAACTTGAAATTGGGTTTCATTCAGAGCTCTACCATAATTATCGGTCACACAATGAGCAGCTAAAACAAAGTATTTTTTTACATTAACATCATATTTAAAACTATATATATATATATATATATATATATATATATATATATATATATATATGTATAATATTTTTTTTTAATTTTAATATTAATTAATTTGCAATAAATTATACTTACCAGTTATGACAACGTTTTCTGCTTATTAACGTTCCCCCACATATATTCTTGTAACTTGTTCCTTCAGTCTTAAACAACGCTATTACCCATGGGAATTCAAAATCTTTAACTTCTCTGCCACCCCAAGCAAGTGCAGTTGTTTCTCTATTTACTTTCTTTCCACAAACTTACAAAATAATAAAATAAAATAGTTATATCTTAATTATTTTATTTAAATAATTTTAAATAGTGTATATGTTTACTTTAGTAGCCAAAACCATAAAAAAAGATCAAAGGACATAACTAACTCCCGCTAGTAGATAATAAAAATGATAGTTGTATTTTTTATAGAGACAGAACAAGTATGTATGTCTTAATGCCGAGACACGAGAAATAATACATTGGCTGACAGGATAGTTTCTACGTTAGGGATTCTGGTCAGTAGGGGGTGCCAATACGGATAATACTTATATATATATATATATATATATATAATATATATATATATATATATATATATATATATATATATATATAAATATTTTGGTTATATAAGTAGCGTAAACAAATTTCTATACTTAATTAAAGGTGGTTAAAGGCTGGTGATGTAGCTCGAAGACAACGTGAGGTGGCGACCTACATTCAACAATAACATTTGAGACGTGAGAAATGTCCATTGTTTTCTTCTGAATAAGTCGAAGGTACGATGAATAGAACTCATCTCTTCCAGCAAATCCTACTTGAAGACAAATGTCGCGTAACTACTGGGTGTATGACGTAAAATGGGTGTGCGTTACGCAGCAGGGTAGAGATTTTAAAAGACGGGTTTCCGGCACCTTAAAACTGGAACAGGTCGTATAAAAAAAAAACCCAAAACAAAAATTCTAGTCCTTTATATATAAGGGGAATATTGCTAGCAACTCGTAGTTTGGAAAACGCGTTTTTGATATGCTGAAAATTTTGATAATTCACCTCGGAATATGGATGAATTAAAACGACGCGACCTTGAACATTGCAACTAAAACGGACATTGGAATGGCTGTATTACTCCAGTCGTCAGAGAAGAATATACCACTGAACCTCTAAAAATCATAGTAACAAGCGATAGTTTGCCAAAAATGTTAATTTTCGAACGCTAAAAAAGATGCAAAAACGTTTACCACTTTTAGTTTAAAAGAACACAGCCAAGAAAAGGGCTAAGCTCCATTATTAATTATGTCATTATGCGCTATCAATCAAATCTATAAGTTTTAGATGTAGGTATGGGTGTATCAACGAGCGGAGTGGGGATCGCACTTAACCATAGCAAAGATTTAAATACCGGGAGAATAACAGCGACTATCAATATAAATAAATAATTCCCGCAAACATAAATTTAAAGTAACTACTATTTAAATGGAAATAAGCCACAATTAAAGGTTAAAGTAAGTTTATTGACGTTTTAATTTCCACTTCGGAAATCTTTCTCAAAATAGAAACATTAGTAAATTAAACAAATTTAGATTTTTGTTACTTGGTGAAAAATTCTTCGAGTAATTTAATTTTATCTAACTCATTTATATTGACAATTCCGACATACAATATACATTTTAAAGCAAATGATTTTAAAACGATATTATCAGTATTGTTCAGTTGCGTTCCTGGGACAACTTTACTTGTAAGTTCAATTGTTTATATGAAATCAAATCATAGCATGTAATTCGTCTTTACGAAGACCACCATGATAGTAAAATTCTCCTGTTAGTGATTCCATAGTAAATTATGAGGGAAAACCAGGAAAAAAACCTCATAATACTATCCCGACATGGTAAGTATTTGGTCGTACATCTAGGTTACTCTCAATAAACACCAAATTCTGATTTTATATGTTTGTATCCAGTATTGTTCTTAGAAATTAAAACAGCCAGGAAAGTTAGTGTGTTTTTATTATAATATATATATATATATATAATATATATATAAATATATATATATATATATATATATATATATAGTATATATATGTGAGTGTGTGTGGATAGTTAGATTATATTCGTTTTCGATGGTAAATGATATTGCCTCATCTTTATCGTTTACATAAATCAGGAATGTGTCCAAAAACTCTGATCCATGAGGCCATATTGAGAATACATCATCTACATATCTTCACCATAAAAAACCAATACATATCAACAGATATATTTAAATTTCAATTGTTTTTTCTTTTATTGATTTTAATGCGTCGACAACTAATGGTCATTGGCATGGTACAGTGAATTTTTACAGTCAGGTACCTAGTGTAGTGTGTGTGTGTGTGTGTGTGTGTGTGTGTGTGTGTGTGTGTGTGTGTGTGTATGGTGTGTGTGTGTGTGTGTGGGTGTGTGTGTGTAGAGTAATTGTCTGATACTTAGCAAAGGTCGACGTCATTGTCTTTGCTAAGAGACGCTAATTGTATCCGAACGTCTGCGGTCCCTCCGGTGAGTACCGATCGCACAAGGATATAAATTATTTTCATCCATTACTTTTCAATAAAAGAAAATTTCTCCACCCAGGTGAAATTCGAACTCACGACCTTTAGGTTCAAAGGTTGGCGCTCTTACCACTGAGCCACAAAGGGGGTTAAATTTGAAATTAAATCACACAATTAATATTTAAAATGAAATCACTAAATCCGTATACGATAGAGTCAAAATTGCTTGTTCTAACGAAAATACGTTCTTGGAGGAAAAACATTTATTAACATCAGTTTTATTTAAAAATGGTTATATTTATAAATAAGGAATTTTCAACAATCGACCGAATGTAACTGAACAAATTAGGACGAGATGCTACAGCTTACACAAGGAATAATACAAGGAAAGTAACAATAACATACAAAAAAGGATTATCAATAAAACTTAAAAGAATGGGAAATAAATTCAACATTTTAGAAACATTCAAAACAACAAACACACTGAGATATATTTTGTCTAAAACCAAACCTAACAATAAACCTCAAAGGACAAAGAATTGTATTTTTAAAATACCTTATGAATGCGATCAGTTTTATTTATTTAAAACATCAAGGCCATTAAATGTTAGAGTAAGTAAACACCAATCTTATATTAAAAATAAAGAATTTTATAGATCTCAAATATGCAAACATGCATGGGATGATGAACATAGGGTTCAATGGAATGATTCAAGTATAGTTATAGAAAAAACGGATGGTAAAAAGAGAAAAATTAAAGAAGCTGCTCTAATTATGCTAATTGAGACTAATTGTGTCTCAAATTCCTCGGCATAATGTAGTATGATCTTTTTAACCTAATTAAAAGAGGAAGTTATTAAAACGAAAATACCAGTATTAGTAAGTCAGTAACATATCGAGGATACATCATTGATGTTTAAAAAAAAACATATAAAATCAGAATTTGGTGTTTATTGAGAATAAACTAAATGTACAAACCAAATATACTAAATGTACTTACCATGTCAGGATAGTATTTTTTTTCCTGATTTTTCCTCATAATTTACTATGGAATCAGTAACAGGAAAATTTTACTGTCAGCATGGCATGTGGTTATGTTTCTAAAGACGAATTACGGGCTATTATTTTTTCTGATGGTTATTCTAAAGTTAAATTTAATTTCATGCAATCAAATGAACTATCTTACAAGTAAAGTCTGTATGTCCGGATTGTGAATATAAATGAGTCAGATAAAATAAGTTATAGGAAGAATTCTTCACCAAGTAACAAAAACAAAATTTGTTTATTTTACTAATGTTTGTATTTTGAGAACGATGTTCGTGAATATTGAAATTCGTAAGTCAATATTGAAATTGAAACGTCAATAAATTTACTTTAACCTTTACTTGTGGCTTCTAAACCGTAGAACTAAATATACTCCTCCTTTAGATTTATTATATTCAATGATGATTTTTGGCTTGCCCTTAATTCATCTAGCAAATCCTCGTAGTGCATCGTTGAGAGTAAAATAACGTTTTTGTTTTTTCTGTGTATATACGACACAACCATATATTTTTCTCTAAATCAAACATACTTGTTTTTTCTGGTCTCTTAGAATCGGTAAATTGAAGTGGAACCTCTCTATTGTTTTTTTCTTATAGTGCCTATCAAAGTCAGATGATGTTCGTACAATAGAAGATCTGCCATGCTGAGGCTCGTAAAAAAATTGTCCATTGTTATAATTTTGTGAGAACCATATATTGAGAACTATGAGATATTGCTCGTATCTACTTTATATGGACCAGGTGGCTCTTGTTCCATGTACACTTCTTGATTTGCGGTACAAGGAAACGTAGCGTCTACTTATGCGTAAATTTTTATACCGTACTTATGAGGTTTATTGGGCATGTATATCCTAAAGCGACACTTGCCACAAAAGCTTCCAGTTTTTCATGTAGCGTTGTATATACTGATAATGAAAAATTTTTAGGTAAGCATAATTAATTGTCAAAAGTCGACAAATAATTCAACAAGCGGACTCATGGTCCGCATGTTTACTCTGAAAGGTTAATTAAAGATATAAGATGTAAGTATTAAATCTATATGAATACACTTTGTAAAATTTTAAATAAACTTAAACTTTGGTTTCTAATTATCTAAATTACACAGTTTGTTATACTTTCTCTAAAATATATTATCCAGTTATTATAATGTTTTTCATTGAGAATTTTCATTTTTTTTTATCAGTGGGTATATTTGTATACGAAATAATCATTGTTGAAAGGCTGTAAAATGCTTTAAAATACTTGGCTGTACCCTAGTAGATAGTGTTAGTAAAAAATATTTAGAAGCAGATAATTTTGCTTTATTATAAGTTTCCCAAATTCCACTTACTTGGTTCACATATAGGTTTCGGAAAGTTCCAAGTGCCATCGTTGCAGTAAAGCGTATTTCTACCGCCTGGTAGGATTTCATAGTAAGCGCTACAAGTATAAGTTAAAGAGGTACCATCAACGGCTTTATCACAAGGTACTGCTCCGTTTTGTATATCTTTACATGTTAACGTGGTAGTTGTCGTTGAATAAAATGGGGGACATTTTTCTAGAAATTAAAAATATAATATACGTATTTATGAGACAAGTAAATTAATTGTTTAAAGTAAAGTATTTTTTATTGAAGTAAAACATAGCGTCACAAAAGTAGCGCAATGACACAACGTCATGGAAGAAGCCCCACGAAGTAGCAGTCACACTAAACAGTTAAAAGAATTCATTTACGCAACGAGTTAAGTACTCTATACAACCTGTTAATTTTTTCAATTTTATTACAATCTATAGAAAATCTATGAATAAATATTAAAGAAATAATAATTACGTTATTCAATTTTAGAAATATTATTTAAATTTTAAAAATACAAAAAACATAATACGAAGCTTAGCGCTAGTCTACAGTACAGACTACTTACTGTACCATTTTATAATTTTTTTCACTAATCACTAAGGTAATATAGAAACTGTAAGATACGGACAAAAAATACAACAAAGGGATATAAACATATACAAATTGTTTTGACTGAGCTTAAATATTTATTAAGAAAGATAAACAATAAAAAACATTTTGGCTTAAGAACATTCGTATTAAATTGGTAAAATATGCTCAAAATACATTATTGGAAATGCTGGCAGGAAATTAGAAATGAAAAAGTACTTTTAATTCACTTAGAAATTTTTATATACTGTTACTCTAGCCTTGCTATTCCGATCGATTGCACTAGGCGAGTCGCAGAAAGCGTTTGTACTATTTACACTATTAAATAAATAAATGGTATAAATTCTACGTGTTTCAGTGTAAGTGTTAACAAAACTTTAAATAAATTAAAATAAACATTACAATGGTGTCAAATGTAAGATACTTGAATAAATTATTCTGCCTATAATGGTTACAAGACTTACTAATTTAACCGTAAAAAAACTACTACGAGAATTGGAAGCCAGAAGTTTAAATTCTCTTGGGAAAAAGCTAAATATGTAAAAGTTTCTGAAAATGTACGTTTGGAAATCCCTAAGATTATTTCTAAGATTTTTTTCTTGGCCACAAAAGTCATTTTGTCTTTTAAAGAAAGGATAAAAGAATAAAAATATTTCCTCTTTTAAACAGGAATAAAAGACAATGAAACAAAGATGGAGGAAACAGGAACATTAGACAAAGGAATTTATTTATTTACAGTAGAAATAATAGAAGACTAGACGCGATGTAACTTGAAGACATGGTTGACATATAAAGTAAGTTGACGTTCTGTTTGTTTTAAAGTCCCAAATTTCGACGGAAAATCGTCATGAAATAATTACAAGAAATTTAAATCAGCAACAAAAAAAAAAACGGATGGTCCTATAAACAAAGAGTCCTTATCGACTCAGCTTGTTATAAGTGGAAACCTGATACCCTGGTAATCGTCGTGATAATGACCATTCGTTGGTACCATGCATATAACAGCTCTCCCTTTTAGATGAAAGTTGATGCGTAGCAGCAACTTTTAGCTTGTCTGTTTATTGGTATTCAGTTGGATCTGCTCTTCTGCGTCTATGGAATCGCTAAGGTGGATACTGGGTCTTCGTCTTGGAAGGATTTTCCTTCAGTTCCTGTTGAAGACTGTCTCTGTGTGTCTTGGTGGTGAGGGCGGATGGTAATTGTCTTTGGTATTGTCAATTCCTATCCTGTATCTTCTCTTGGACTACATTTACATATCCCATAAAGAACAACAAGAGTTACAATGACAGCTATGGTTAAAATGGTGAACCGGCTCAAATGTTTGTTGATGAATGGTTCATTGATTAGTTTATCGAGTTCTTCAGAATACTGATTGAGTTTGTGATGGGCTATCTCGAGGTCTTTAGTATTGATCTTGCTAAGCTTCAGTGGTTTTAAGTCGGGAAGATGAATCTTATCTGGGAAATATTTGCAGCAGTTGAATGGTATTAGAACTGGGTGACTTCTGTAAGTAACATTGTCATGAACGTCGATTAATTTCTGAAAGTGTACTCAAGTACTACCAATAAAGGCATCGCACGTGGGTTGTAGTTTGAGTACATGGTTTGTGTAAATAAGCTCTAATTTGACGTCTCTGGACTCGCATTTGATGGTAATAGATGGTAATAATCGCAGTGGGTCAGAAACTGTTATGAGCCATAGGTTTATGTTGATCTTTTGGACGTTGTAATCTTTGGCAAATACTACGGAAGTCTGGCATGTTCTGGGAAGGCGTTCTTGTCGTTTCAGAAGTTGGGCTTCGCATATGGCATCGCTGTCGATTGGGTATGGAAGTGTGTTGTAACAGATCTTGGTGCGAGCTCGCAAAGTTTTGCATGACTCGAGGCTATTTATTTTAAGGTATAACAATGAATCATCGTTTCGCGTAATGTATATATGTGTTCTTGTTAATATTGAATGAAAACCTGTTCGATTATCCAGTATTGGTATTGGATAAAGACGATATAATATATATTGTTCTGCATCAGTTAAACGAATATTTAAGACAAACACAATTCTTGTGTCTAGTTGATAGGCTTACAATTCGATAACATCGAGATATTCAGCTAGATTTGAAGTATAGATTGATAATGGAAGATTATTTTTTTGTAATAATTGTGATATATGCCTAAGCGATTTAATTAACTCAAACAGGGTGATGATTGAGCTATGTAATATTTTTAATCGAGCAAAAGTTATGGCATTTACTATTTCATTTAAAGAGTCTTCGATAAATGAATAGCTTTAAATTAGTAATTCACAAAAGTTTAGCATATCGATTTGAGATTGATAGAATTTTAATTGGTCAGAGATATCCATTATTAACTCTCGAATTTCTTTAATATTATTGTTGAATGTTTCCTCATCTATTTGTAATTTCCGGATTGTGGCGTTAAAGTTTTAAATAACAGAAGTTGTAACCGATATGTGATTTTTTAATAAGTATTCAATTTGATACTCATCGCGGGTTATTTTATTTATACATTCATTGAAATATTCGCCATCTGACGAATCTAAGTTGCCGGTAATTGATACCGTATCGAACCTATTCCGTTAATAAGTCCGCGTTTCTCTCGGAATGTGTATTGTTTCGTATAAGCCATTATTTCTGTATATTTGAGATTAACAGAACTAGACATTTGTTTGAGAAGACTTATGTGAGTTTGGACTTCGGATTTAAATGCCAGCATTCGAGGTACATCTTCTTCAATGGTATCCAATAAATTTTCTAAGATTTTGTCATTTTTGGTCAATAACGTCTCTGATTGGTTGCATGTCTTATACACAAGAAGGGTCCATTTGTCGTTCGAAATTTTGAGATTAGCTTCTTCATGAAAAAAGATTCCAACAGTGTTGTTGATTAGAGTTAACGTATACTGGAACACGATGACTGGGATCAGTCCTAGGAAAAAAATTACTCATGATAGGGTTTATATCTATCAAAATTTACTTTCATTGTTTTATTGGTTTGGGTATTTAATAGAATAGCAGAATTAACGTGAATTTCTTGGATTTCAAAAGGGCCATTAAATTTATTTTGGGATTTATCTTTAATTTGCGATTCCTTGACGTAAACCTTATCGCCTATTTTATATTCTGGATCGTTTGATGACACGTCTTGATCGAATTTGTCTTTAGCTGTTTCTTTTTGTCTTTCTGTCTTAACTCGTGCCATTTTATCGAAATATTTCATACGATTACTTAAGTCTCTAACGTATTTTGATATAAGGATTTTTTCATTGTAAAGTATTTCGGGTGGTCTAAAAGAAGTATGTCCAAAAATGAGTTCGTATGGTGTAAATCCGTGGGTTTTGTTTTTTGTGTTATTGTAGCAAATAAGTGCATAAGGCAGAACAATGAACGAATGGTCATCGAGATTTTCAGCTTGATTAGCTCTTATCATTTCGCTTAGGGTTGCGTGAACTCTTTCGATAGAACCGTTAGATTGTGGATAGCCCACACTTGAGAAGGTTAGTTTTATGTCGTACAATTCACAAAAGTCTTTCATCAAAGCATTGTCGAATTCACGTCCATAGTCACAGTGTATGCGTAATGGTGTACCATGGTGTTGGAAAAAGATAATAAGATGATTGACAACTGATTTAGCTGTTTTGTCTTCAAGAGGATACGCGTGTGTGAATTTAGTGAGCTCGTCTCTGATAGCTAATGCGTAATTTCTGGTAGGGTATTCGAAAAGGTCTATGTTAATTATTTCGAACGGTGTTTTAGGTGTTTCGGTGATGACGAATTACTTTTTGACAGATTTCGCAATTTTTTATAAAATTTACTACATCCTTTGTGATGCCTTGCCAATTATACTCTTCGTTTATTCTTCGTATAGTCTCATTTAGGCCCCGATGAAGATTGCTGTTACCATGGTGATAATGATCTAGTATTTGGGGTATTTCGTCCTGTTCCGGAGTTTTAATGACATCTTGACAGATTCTCAGTTTTATTTCGTTATCGGCAAAGATGAATGAAAATATTTCTAGGATTGTCAATTCGAGTTGATTTTCGACGTAATGGATTTACGATAGGTCAAATTTATTTTGTGCGACATAAACGATATAGAATGGGTGTTGAACTACTGTTTCGGGATCAAAAAGAAGGGGAATGATAAAATATTTCCGATTTGTGACAGTTTTACTACCGAATATGTTAATCTTTGATAAGTTAAAATCTATATTGTTTTCATCGAAGATGTCGTCTAATATTTTGTGATGTATTTCTTCCATTTTATTTTGTCTAAGAAAGGTGATGATGTTCTTATGCGATTTGTCTAATGGTTGATCATTAGATATTTCAATTTTAGAATAATCAATGAGTGATTTAGTTTTAGACAGTTCGACAAATATAATAAAATGTTCAGTGATTTCTTCTTCATTGATTTCATTTGGCTCTTCGTCAGATTCCGTATCATTCGAAGCTAATATTGATATTTTCTTATGAAAATTCGCACATTCTCTAAAATGATTGATTTTAATTCGAGAAAGGGCGTCCGCATTTTTGTTGGTTTTTCCCGGTTTATGAATAATTTTATAATTGTACTCCTCAAGCTTGAGACGCCATCTAGC